TGTTTCTGATTTACAGCACCCGCAGATCTTTCGGTTTTTATTTAACGTTAGCTGTATTTTTTAAGGATTTTATACCTGTATCAAGTTGAAATTAATATTTAAGAACATATCTACAGGTGACTATTCGACTTGGAAGAGCTCTACGGAAAGGGGAATATCGTGTGAAAGTGTACCAACTACTGGTGAATGATCCAGAGGTAATATTGATTACTTTGACTCAACCACATTCAATGAATAATAATACATTTGCATTTAGTCTTAAATCTGTGAAAGCACTGGGAATGCTTGGCTCAGGTTCTGTGTTTCAGTCTCTGCAATGGACTTGAGTATAATATCAGAAATAGGCGCAGACCACGTGGCCCCTCGAGTCTGCTCTTCTCTCAGGAAGATCATGACTGATCGCCTGCAGCAGTTTCACTTTTCCTGTTTCCTTTTCAATACCTCAACCTTCTGAGTTGAGAATGTTACCCATTGAGCCATGATGGACACCTTATGTCAGTTAGGTATAGGTGAAGTAATTTTCAGTTTTCTGAAAAAAAAACTGTTTTACTGCTTATGCGGTAGTTTTAATTATCTTGGCAATTGATACTGTCAGATTAAATGTTGGATAAGGCTGATAAAGATATGTGATTTCTGTCTTGTCATGGTATTTTTGACCATGCCTAAATCTTACGCCCCTCATATCTTAAATTTTGCTTGAGTTCAAAACATTTTAACTTATGTACAAAATCACAGCTCAACGACTACACAAAAGCAATACAAACTAGTTCAGTTAGTTCGTTAATTCTAGTTATAGAATTTCCTACTTTGGGATTAAAGTGAAGAATTGACTGAAGTAAATATGTAAAGAATTTGCCTTGGAAGTCATGAACATTTTTAAACTTTCTTTTTTCAGTGCCATTTGGTAACCAAATTCGAAATAACATTCCATTGTCACAAATTACTAAATACTGTAAGGAGCTGCACATAGTGGCTGAACAGTGTTGACCAACATGCACACATTAAAACTTTACAGAACTAGAAGGCTTCTGGTGAACATTGTCTGCTACAGCTTTGTCAGTAGACATCTCCAAAAGTTAACTTACCATGGGACTGGGTGATCTCCTTCCATTCCGTAATTCCTTTTGTTCTACCAAGGAAGACAAACCATCCATCCCCGTCCAAATATCTTTTGCTTTACTTCAAGCCTATTTACAGAATAACCTGTGTGACAAACGAGCACAGCAGCCTGGTTAAGGAGTTAGGCACCTGACTATCAAAATATGATTTCAAATTCCACCTGTAAATCTGAATCATAGAAGATCATAGAATGATCATTGAACAGTGCAACACAACACAGCACAGGGGCAAGCTGTTTGACCCAATATGTCTGTGACCACCATGATGCCATTGTAAACTAATCCCATCTGCTGGCACGTTGTCTGTATCCCTGTATTGCCTGCCTGTTCGTGTGTCTCTCTCAATGCCTCTTAAACATTGTGACCGTATCTGCTTCTACAACCTTTCCTGGCAGCGTGTTCCAGGCACCTACCACCCTCTGGTTTAAAAAAAAAATCTTGCCTGGCATATCTCCTTTAGACTTTCCTGTTCTCACCTTAAACCTATATCCCTTAGTATTTGAGATTTCCACCCTGAGAAAAAGCCTTCAACTGTCCAAGTTTCTCATAATTTGATATACCTCTATCAGGTTGCCCCTCAGCCTCCAATGCTGTAGGAAAAACAATCCAAGTTTGTCCAACCTCTCTCGATAGCTTATACACTGGAAATCAGGCAAGATCCTGATAACGAAAACAGAAATTGCTGGCAGATCTCAGCACGTCTGACAGCCTCTGTGGAGAGAAATCAGAGTTAATGTTTTGGGTCCAGTTACCCTTCTTCAGAACTGATGATAGTGAGGAAGAAGTTTTATTTTAAACACAGAAGATAGGGTGGGGGAGGGGATAAGGAGTGAAAATAGGTAGAGATACAGCCCAAGGAGAGAGAAAAACAGTTGGACATACAAAGGCGTGAACAACAGTCAGCCTAGGAGAATGAATAAATGCTATTAGTGGCTGATAATGGGTAGAGTGTAGCGACAAATTTAACTGTATTTGATGACCTTGAAAAAAGTCTCTTGATAACTGAAGAATTTAACCTGGAAAAACCTGAGATTTGTATACTTTTAGCCTCCAATAAAATTCCAATTCCAGAATTATGTTTGAAGAAAAGACTGTTATGACTGTATTCTGTGTGCTCTTGTATTGCAGCCCTGTAAATTTCTGCTCGATGCTGTGTTTGCTAAAGGAATGACGGTGCGCCAATCAAAGGAGGAACTCCTTCCTCAGTTGAGAGAACAGTGTGGGTTAGATCTTAGTATTGACAGGTAGGAATTGACATTGATCCATATTGTAATAATCAGTTGGGCACCTATTAGCACTTGTTTGCAGAATAACTAACACCTGGTCACAGGAGGTGACAACATGATTGAAAGCCATTTGTCCCATATTGTCTTTTCTAGCATATATATCATTATTCTTTTCGTCCTCTGCTGGGTTTACATATAATCTTTAACTATCTGAATTCTATTTTAAAATTGCTCTGCTGCAATACCAGCAGAGCTAAAATTTCAATCTAAATATAGCAAAGAAAACCAAGTGTGAATGAAAGATTTCAAATTCCTTTTGTCATTTCAGGCTGAGGTATGGAGATATGTATAACTGTCTCGATTGATATTTTGATCTTTCATTTGATAATGATATCTGTTTCAGAAGAGAAATCAAATTAAGTAACAATTTAGATATGACTAACCTAAATTTCACATGTTACCACAGAGATTGTGAACACTACAAAGCAGTTGCTGAAAGGACTGTCCCTTACTTTGTTAAAATAGTAGTTAGATTATTGTGGAGAAATTGATTCAATATTGGGCTAAAAGTTGAGAATTTGCATATGCAATCTTGCACCAATTAGAGCATCAGCTTTACTTAACTGTTGCTGAATTTTGTATCAGTCACTGGCATCTCAGATTGGAACAAAAATTTCATTCCTGGTTGTAATGGGCCTACTGACACTAATCAAAGAAATATTTTCTCTTCTGCAAATGAAAATTGGCTTTATTTTATATTTCCTCTGCCTTTGAGACTCCACTTTTCTTTTACATTAGTGTGCAGATTTGATCAATGTTTAACATAAGAACAGTCCTCATTGCATAGGAAACTTCATCTGAGACTTTTTTTAAAGCTGTATCAGTCTCACTTATAATTTAACTGCATTAAATCTCTGCCAGAGGACTGAAGATAGTTTTTTTCCAACTGCAGCCTTTCAATTCTGTGAGTACAGATTTTGTAAACATCTGGCTGTCTTCCACGCCCTTTGGTTTTTTCAATACACACGATGCTTTTTGCAAATGCAGGTATCACTAAACACTTTTTATTTGCTATTTTATTTTTTTACAAGTTGCTGATGTGACTGAGTAGGACAGCATTTATTGCCCATTCTCGGTTGCTGTTGAAAAAGTCATGTCATTGCTTTGAAACATTACAGTCCATATGATGTTGGTACATTTTCAGTGGTAATAAGGCAGAAGTTCAGGATTTTCTCCCATTGAAAGTGAAGGTATAGTGATATAGTTCCAAGTCAGGATGGTGTTTGTCTTGGAGGGCAACCCATATGAGATGATGTTTCCAATGCATCACCTTCCCTCATCTTTCTTGGTGGTCATAAGTGTTGCTGAGAATTAAGTAATCATTGGCAAACGTTCCCACTTCTGACCATGTGATGGAAGAAGGTCATTGACACAGCTGAAGCTGTTTGGATCTGGAACACAACACTCAGGACTCCTGCAGAGATGTCCTGGGACTGAGATTATTGCCCTCCAACAACCATGTTATCTTCTTTTATGTTTGGTCTAAGGAAGTATTTGCTTCCATTTTATCTTGCCTTCTGTTGTACCACTTTATCTTGAGAGGTATAATGTAGCTTCGTCAAACGATTGTCACTTTGAATAATTGGTAGCAAACTCCTCCGCTCATTAATGTTAGTGCTGCTATGCTTAAAGGGAATTTTGAGTTTCTTAGCATTTCCTTTCACCTTCCCTGGAATGCTGACAATGAGAGTTGAGAAAACCGATCTGTTGGGAGCGATACATATTGGCTATTGAAAAGGTATTCGTCCCATTGAACTGGATTCTGCAGGAGAATTGTCTGAATTCTTGTGGAGCTGCCTTCAAGAAGAACACTAGTGTTTGTTTGACAGCCCTCCTATTGAATTTGGAGAATGCAGCAGAGGCACTGCTGATTTCCGTATCACACTGAAGTGCTCTTGCTGCATAGTAAATTTCTCTTCACCAACCCTGCTCTCTTCACCAACTTAATATATGTCAATTATTACTCCACAATTGTGACGGGACTGTTAGATCCTGCCTTAGATCTTCATCAAATTGACATCAGGGCAGGTCTTATACAGTTTATGGTAGGGCCCTGGGTAGTGTTGTCAAATCAAGACCTCGGGGGTTCAGGTACATAGTTCTTTGAAAGTTGTGTCATGGGTAGACAGTAGTTGAGGCATTTAGCACGCTTGCCTTCATTGCTCAGACCTTTGAGTACAGGAATTGGGACGTCATGTTGAGGTTGTATAGGACACTGGTTAGGCCACTTTACAAGTACTGTGTACAGTTCTTGCCGCTCTGCTATAGGAAGGATATTATTAAATAGGAGAGGGTTCAGAAAAGATTTACTGAGATGTTGCTGGGACAGGAGAGTTTGAGGCTGGATAGGTTGGGACTTCTTTCACTGGAGCATAGCAGGTTGAGGGGTGACCTTTTACAGATTTATAAAATCATGAGGGGCATAGATAAGGAGAATAGCAAAGGTCCTTTCTCTAGGGGTGGAGAGTTCAAAACTAGAGGGTATATTTTTAAGATGACATGAGAAAGATTTAAAAAGGGACCTGAGGGGCAACTTTTTCACACAGAGGGTGGTGGATATATGGAATGAACTGCCAGAGGAAGTGGTAGATGCAGGTATTTAAAAGACATTTGGATGGTTACGTGATCAGGAAGTTTAGAACAATATGGAGCAAATGCAGGCATGTGGGAGTAGTTTAGTTTGGGGAAAGTCGGTCAGCATGGACGAGTAGGACTGAACGGTCTGTTTCTATGCTGTATGACTCTGATTCCAACTGCCGGAGAGTTTTCTACCTGATTTCCATTTACCTCAATTTTGCTTGGGCTCCTTGATGCCATACTTGGTCAAATGCTGCTTTGATGAGTTTCAGTCCCATAATGAATCAGTGTTGTTATTGAGTCTCCAGGTAGTTTCCACCGTTTGTTTAGAAAATGAAGAACTCCGATGTCTGTGACCTGGGAAAGAAAGTCATAAAGAGAAATAGGGCAGCCAGTTTGTACACAGCAAGTTTCCACAGGCAGAAGCGTAATAGTGATGTTGATTGAGAGATAAATATTAACCCATGATGCAGGGGATATCGTTTATGCTCTTTATAACAGTGCCTTGGAGTCTTCTATACCCGCAGAAGATGATAGATAGGGCCTTGCTGTATTGAAAGCCAGCAGCTTTGACAATACAGCACTCTCAGTCCTGTACCAAAATGTTAGCCAAGATTACATGCTCAAGTCTCTGGAATGATTCAGACCTGAAAGTATTAGTCACTGAAACTTGACTGACATAATTATAAAGATTATTGCAAGCAACCTTACAATGATATTAATAAATTATATGGAAACAAAGTGGTTCGCTTTATTTTCTTGTTAAATATTATGTGCCTCTAAGTTAATAATAACTAATGCAAGATTTATTGAAAAACACAGCTGGTGAGACCAAGCACTTTAATTGATCTGAATCGTTTTTCAGGCTGCCTTCACAATACTACACTGTCAATGCATTAACACAATATAACTTGACAGATAAAAGGCTTCCTTTGGCGGATAATCTGTATTGTATTTTAACAGGTTTAGATTGAGGAAGAAAACCTGGAAAAATCCTGGGACAATCTTTCTGGACTACCATATCTATGAGGAAGATATCAACATATCCAGTAACTGGGAGGTTTTCCTTGAGGCACTTAATGGTAATGCTTCTTCAACAAGAAATTTTATATAAAGGAGCTTTATTGTTTAAACAAAACTCCAGGTGCTTCACGTAAACAAACATAAATAAAAAATAACACTGCACCACTTGATGAGATATTAGAGCACATGATCACAGAGGTAGATTTTAAAGAACTTTATAAATAAAGTATAGAGGTGGAAGAGTATAAGGAAGAATTCCAGAGCTTAAGCCTTCAGTAACTGAAGGCACTGCACAGATGGTGGCATAATGGAAATCAGAGTGCAGAAGAGATCAGAATTGGAGGAGTGCAAGTATTTCAGATGGATGTGCAGTTGAAAGAGGTTACAGAGGTGGAGAGTATTGAGGCAGTGAAGAGATTTGATAAGTGAGAGAATTTTAAAGTCAAGTTTGTGGCAACTAGAAGTCAGCAAGGAAGTCTTTAGAACATGAGCACAAGAGGATAATGGGGTAATTGACACGAGGTAGGATGCCAGCAGCAGAACTTAGGTCCAAATGATAAATGGGAGATCAGCCAGGAAAGGTTTGAAAAGTTGTGTCTACAAGTGACTGTAGCAGGTGAGTTGTGGCAGAAATGGGCGATGTTACAGATGTGGACATAGGCAGTCTTGTTGGCAGAGAGGGTATAGGAAGCTCAGTTCATGATCACATAGCATATTATATTACAGCAAGTCAGGTTCAGGCTCAATCCATGGAGAGAACTGGAGTCGGTGACTAGTACGCAGTTTGTACTGCGTACAGAAGGTATTAGATTTGGTCCTTCTAATATTTAATGATTTGATCATTTCCTAAAATAATTTGAAACAATGATGAGACGTGGAAAAAAGACTTCATTGGTTAATCACTGACCTTTTTCTGTCTACCTTTCCAAATCTCCTGCATTAACCCTGTGCCCTGGGACAATCATTGGAGCTGTAAGCTGGAAGAGGTTACCGAGACGAGGATTAGTAAGCCTATGATGGGATTTGACTATTAGAATATGAATTCTTCAACTACAGGCTTTGAGGGACCTGACCTTCTGTGGGTCGACTGGACTCAGTGCTGGTTACCATTACCTTGCAAAGTAATTCTGCGGGCCAGTGGCCTACTTAATTCTACAGACGGTTATAAGTAACCTTCTGCTTTATTAGCCACTTAGTTTTGTGTGTGCTTCACATCTGGTCTGGGTTTGAATTACTTATTTGGTTTTTAATTTCATCCGTATGCTTATGCTGACATTGCAAAAGTTGCTTGTTTTGCTTGTCACATGCTGAAATGTCTGTGTAACCTTAAGGTGAAGAAGCAGTTGACAGCATCTGGTGCCGTTGATATAATGGGATCTTTTTAATCGCTCAATTCATTTTGGAGATGTGTGTATTTACTGGCTTTTATATCCCACCCCAAGTTAGTCTTGAATCACCTTGAATTGCTGTAGTCATTAGGGTGAAGACACTCCTGAAGTATCGTCAGGAAGAGACTTCATGTCAGGGTGACGGGAAACTTAGAACATAAATAGGAGCCATAGAATAGGTCACACGATCACTTGAATCTGCTTCCCTGTCCAGTAACATCATGATTGATCTTCCTTGTCAATCTCAATTCCATGCAGGCACTCAGAAATGTGATTCCCTGTGATATCTTTGCTAACCTTCAATACATGCAGTGACCCTTCATCTAGTAAATGAATTCCAGAGATTCTCAGTGTGAAGAAATTTTTCTTAGTCTCAATCCAAAATGCTTTGACAATGTGCTAACTTTTTTTTGACTGTGATCATTCTTTGTCTGACTAGTTGGGGGAAAGAAAGAAATGAAAGCTGTTAAATATTAAAATAAGCCAATGGGGTTGGAAGGAGAAACCCGAACTGTAGTAATAGGCTTAGCATTTAAAATGGAAATTGGGACACCAAGAAACTGCATTCACAACTTTTTGACTAATTCTTGGGAAGCTGGCTTTGCTGGCAAAGTTAGCATTTATTGCTCATCTCTTGTTGACTCTTGGGGAAGTGGCAGTAAGTTGCCTTTTTAATCCACAGCTATGCTTGTACTAATGGTGCTCAGGCAGTGGTGGTAGGGAGGGATGTTTTTGATAGGGTGAAGGAATGGTGCTATATGACTTGGTCAGAATGAATGGAGAAGACTTGGAGGACCTGTGTATTATCTTGCTTCTTGTATCCTTCTCAGTGAGTTGTCAGGCTGGGAGATGATGTTGTATTAAACTTGGGAAGTAGCTGCTTTGCTTCTGGTAGAATATAGTATACCCACAGTGATCCAATAGTGAATAAGAATGCATTGGAAAGGCGGCCAGTTTGGGTGCACAGAAGAATGATAACCAAGTCCTGTTGCAAGTTCTCTTATGTTCTTTTTGGTCTTTCCCTCAGAGCCTGAGAAGATGAAGTCTCTGTCACAGTTGGCAGTGTTGACCAGACGGTGGAGGCCATCCTGCATGAAGCTGGAGCCCTTTCAAGAAATTGTCTTGGAGAGCAGCAGTGTTGAGGAGCTCAAAGAGAAGGTTTGTAACTTCAAGCAGCCATTTCTTTCTTTTTTAACAAAATAAATTTGATGAGATGCTTCATTACACACAAATACTTTCTAACTGCAGGGCTGCTTTGATAATGAGCTGAATCTTCTTTGAAGAATAGTGGTTAACAATTTGTGCTGTTCTTAATGCACAGGATGACCAGTATGTTCAGGTGGTGGAGATACGCCACTTGTTGCAAATCTCCAAAGCTAACTGGTTGATTTACACAACTCCTTCTGTTAAGTTTACACAAATGGAACTTGCTCGATTATCAATTTAAATCCTCATTAAACATGTTGCAGAAAATTAGTGCTTCTGATTAACAGTGCAAGTACCATTTTAATACCATGTTGATTTTTGTTAAAACAATGTTAATTAACCTCCCTGGCCTACGAAGTTAATTTAACTGATCAATCTCATTTCTGTCGGGTAATCAGTTAATAAGATTCAAAAGACTTTACAAATTTTGAACTTTCCCCTTTGTGTCTTTTTAGTCTGTTAATCTAATTTTTTTCCCCCTTCTCTTTAGTACTTTTTCTTAATCTGATTTGACCCTAATTAACCCTGACTGTCATTCCTGTTTCTTTCTCACTCCTTTATTCTCATTGGCTAAAGACGATCCCTCACCAAACTTCATTATCAGTTCATGTTCTCACCAAGTTATGCCATGTATTGTTTCATGTTTACATTGGGCAAATTGGTGAAGGAACAATACTGGACCTTTAGGATAAGTCTAATGTCCTTTTACGGAAGCAAACTGCTGACTTACCTGGTCTGGCCTACATGTGGCTCTAGACCCACAGCAATGTGGTTGACCTTTAACTGCCCTCTGGGCAATTAAGATTGGCAAATACTGGCCTAGACACTGATACCCTCATCCCGTTTTAAAAAAAGTAATTGGTGCAAAAGATGATAAATCCTGGTTATGATGATCAGAACTTGATATTGGAATAGGGATAAATGCAACATCTCCCTTTAACATAGCAAAACAATATCAAAGCCCTTAGATATTTTTGCTGCTTTTGTCCATGAAGCCAAGTCTATTCAATCTTTAAAATTTTTTCTCCTTATTTTGTCACTTATAAAAATATTCTTGAAATAAAACTCAGGAGAAATACAGAGGCTGTAGAGCTCTAATGAGAGTATATGTGTGATAAAGGATAGGAGAATGGCCAATGTAATGCTCCTTTTTACAAAGACTTCATTTGGGTAACCTTTAGCCATTTTAGCATCCATGATAAGAAAGATTTTAGAAAATAAAATTTACTATATATGTCACCTTGTATGTCCAGATAAGGAGAAAATAGTTTTCTAAAGGAGAAAAGTTAACATGAATTTCAAAACGGATAATTGAGCTTGACAAACCTGGTGCCATTACGTATGGTGATAAGACATGGGAAATGAGAGAAATGGATATAGTGTACGTGGAAGTTAGGAAAGACCGAGGTTTAGGCAAATAAGTGCCAAAATGTGCATATATTTGCATAATTTATGCTTTCATTGCTGTTGAAGGCAGCGTTTTCTCATTCTCCAGAGACAATGAAGCTATAAAAGCATGTTTGCAATTTGAGGAAATTACTGAACTGCTCTTGAAAAGAAAATGATTAAGTATTTGAAAGAACAAAAGTTTTAAATGGGTTAGATGCAGGAAAGTTGGACTAAATGGATTGCTCTTTCAAAGAGCCAGCACAGATATGTTGGACCAAACATAGGAAGGAAAAGGGAAATTGAATTAACTGGGGTACTTCAGAGATCTGCTTTGAGTGCACTGAACTGAATGATTGACCATCTGAGGTGCAAAATTGAGAGATTCTGGAACTGATGTTCACTTGGAGCTGTCAGTTATGGCCACTGCCGCTCCAAAGTGTTCAGCAGGCAAACTATATGCCCTAATTACTAAAAGGGAGGGAAAAATGTTTCAGGTTACAACTGTACCATTTTGCAACTGTTGCTTTTCAAAAGAGGACGATAACTGGTACTAGTTTGACATTTAGATATGATCTCCTGTTGGCAAAGATAATCACATTGAAAATTGATCAGACCAGTTGTGGGATAAAATTTTTTGTAATAATCATATATATAATTAGAACATTTCATCTGATCTTTTGTACTTTTTGTTTACCAGCTACATGCAATCAGTGAAATTCCTATTGAAAACATAGAATTTGCGAAGGTGAGTAGTTTAAAAAGAATGGCTCAAAGTAATCATTCAGTTTGTGCGAACACAATTGTAGAATATAGTGTCATTTTTAATATTATTTGGAATTTTAGAGTGTGAACCCAGGAACACGCTTGACAGGCCTTTGCTGGCTTGATCCTTTTTCCACTCTACTTCATCTTATTCTAACACTGTATCATATTTTAATGCACTAGTAGTTTATTCCTAGTCTTTTGGGTATTCCACTCTAAAGCCATGCAGAAGGTATTTTTGAGGTTGTAGACATGTTTGCCAAGCCAGTGGGTTTAGTTGCAAAAGTTTCATTACCCTCCTAGGTAACATCGTCAGTGCGCCTCCGGTGAAGTGTCGGTGTTCTATCCCGCTTGTTATTTATGTGGTATTTTTGTGGAAAAGTGGGGCACTAATCCTCAGTAAACATTTCCCTTTTCCCCTACTTTGTCCCCCTCACTTCCCAAACCCCCAGTCTTCTGCAACAGTATGCTTCTAATACAAATAGCACTTTTGTGATTCAATTGTTTAATTGCTTCTATTAGCATTAAGGGAGAGTCACTGGTAATTCACTAACATCACTGCATATTATGTATTGTGCAGGGCCGGGGAACATTCCCATGTGATATTTCAGTACTGGAAATTCACCAGGATTTAGACTGGAATCCTAAAGTCTCAACTCTGAATGTTTGGCCACTTTACATCTGTGATGATGGAGCAGTCATCTTTTACAGGTAAAAGGGTTCACTAAACTGAGCAGGGCATTATAACATCTCATTTTAGTAACTCCAGATTAGTTACAGCTATATTGTTGAAATAACCACTATCTGGATGAATACAAGACTTGCTTTTGTATAGTGAGTTTTGCAACATCAATGTCTTAAAACACTTTTAAGAACTTTTGAAATGTAGTGACTGGTTACAGTGTTGAAAATGCAGTAACCAGTTTGCACTTAGCAAGTTCTTCTCAAACAGCAGTGTAATAATGACCAGGTAGTCTGTTTTAGTGTCATTAATTTAGATATAAATATTGATCAGGACATCAAGAACTTCCTCCTTCTCTTTAGCATGGTACTGTGGGATCTTTTATGTCCACCCGAGAAGGCGAACAGTGCCTCTGTTTAATGTCATATCCAAATGACAACATTTCCAATGGTTCAGCACTCGCTCTGTACTGAAGAATGACAGCCTGGATTTTTGTACTCATGATTCAGGGGTGGGACTTAACCCCCTTTGAATTTGAATTAGAATGTATTGGCAAATCTCCACAGAGGGTCTTCCAGTTCCTCTATCTGGTTTATATTCACTTGTTTTGTGTTTGGGTTCAGCTATGTAAAATCAAACCCACTATAAATTCTTTAATGCATTACTTTAAAATGGCTTTTTCATTGTATTGAGTAAGATGATGACAAGATGTTATCCTGATGTATGCCTTATTTTTACCAAAAAATGCAAAATCCCATTCTAGTCAAGTGTTCTAATTAGCTTTTCTGCACTCCTTTGCAGGGACAAGTCAGAGGCCCAGATGGAGATGAGCGAAGAGCAACGCAACGGGCTGCTGAAGAAAGAAAGCAGCCGGCTGCAAAAATCAGGCCACCGGGTGAATTATTCACCTCGCAAAGAGAAAGCACTGAAGATCTATCTGGATGGCGGCCCCATCAAAGACTCCAGCCAAGACTGAGACTTGGCCCAGCCGGGCCCTGGTTGGGTCGTCCCTGGAACCGAAATCTGATTCACCACTGCTGTGTAGAACTCCTGTGGCTGTCCCATTCGTCATTAGGTTGTCCTAATGACACCAGCACTGATTGGCTTATTGGCCACCAATCAGAAGCCCAGTGCCCCGTTGGGGGATCACTGTCTGACTTTGAATCATGTTGTGCACTATAGTCTATTGTACTGTAAAGTTAAAAGGGAAGTGCAAAAAATGGGGTTAAAATGATCGAAGATGATGTGGACTCTGCACATATTTGCTGGAAATACTAGACCCCTCTGCGCAAAGGGGATTTTGTAGCTAAATAAAAGCTGTGCACAGTCCTAAGAATTTGTCATTTATTTTATTCATAAGTGTGCACATACCTTATAAATTTTAAAAAATGCGTACTCTATATGGGCTAGGGATGGGAGGTATTGGCGGTTGATTAATGGCGATGGAGCACCATCAGCAGTGTAGAAAGAGGCAATTCTTGATTATAAATGGAATGAATGAATACTATCTGCAACTTTGACTTGGCCTGGAATTCTGTGTGTTTTATAAATCTGCACTCACTCATTTTGTCTGTAGTGACTGTGACGGGTTTACTTTTGTGTGCCAGGTTGTAGGTTTTGAGGTTCCAGCCCTTGTAATGTTTTTGTGAATGTACAGGCATCGAAGTAAGCTGCAGCTTGGCATAAGTTAACTGAGTCCTGGGTGAAGGTGTTGAAGATTATTTGCCTCCAGCATCTTGGAGTACACAGATGCACACGTGAACATGGCAGGCATGACTCGAACCACGTGCAAACATAACATGCACACCACATGTCCAGGCACACACTTTGTGCACGCACACCATGCAAGTGCTGCACACAAGGTATAGTGTTAGAGGGCTGCTTGAACTGTTGCATTTTAGGTGCTTTCTTTCTCATCTGTTCAGTTGGTATTTGGGCATTAATTTTATGCCTTTGCTCAAACTTTGGTTTTTACCAACCTTAGAGGCATCTCGTTTCTAATTATGTATGTTATATTTTGTGATCCTGTATCGAAGTTTAATTACTTCGTGAATCTTGTTCCATGAAGAAGCAAGGAATGATTTTAATTTTCTGCTGTATTTAATTGACTTGACCTAAGAGGTAAATCATCTTAGGTATGAATTTATTTTCAACAATTCAAAAGAAAGCACATGGGATGACGAGCTTGTTACATGGCGAGATTCACTTTACACACTTAACTGAAGAGCATTAGGAAGTGGAAACTTTAACTGCTGCATAAACTCCATCGCCATTTTTCCCCCTCGGATTTCCCAGGTGGTCTCAATTTTTAATGAGACAGTTTTCTTTTTGGTTAAAGTATTTTTTCATGGCCAATGCTGTTCACAATTGAGTAACATGCCAATAAAACATTTATTCATTCTATTTGGATTCTGAAGTTTACATTTTATGTTGGCAACTTTGAACTGCCTTTCACTAAGAGGTTACTTTTTTGCTAGTATTTGGATGTTGTGGAAGGTCTCAATATAATTACATCTCTATCAGTATTAGACTTTGTACAGATAGTTTGGGATTTAATGTAACTGCAACACCAATCATTTACACACAATTGTAAATGCACCAAGTAATTGCAATCTGGATTTTAAAAAAAAGTGATTCATTAAATCACTTTTTATAAAACACTGTTTTAGGTCTCATCTGGAATATTGTCTCTAATTCTGGGCACTACATTTTAGGAAGGAAATCAAGACCTTAATGAGAGTTCAGAGAAAATTAACTTGAATGGTACCGAGGAGGAATGAGGGATTTCTGTTCTCCTAAGATCAGAGAAGGTATGTCATGCTTATTAACCAATATATGGATTTAAAATAACTGGCAGGAGGGTTAAAAGGGAACTGAAATTTTTTTTCACTTGGAAAAGTGGCCAGCAATCAGCATCACAGTGAGGCAGACTCTGAGAAGAGTGGCCTATAGTCAGTTCTTGTTGAAAGAAACAAATGTCATCACAATGTCCATTGACTTGTATTGGAAAGGGAGAATTTGAAGGCAGGAACATAAAACAGAGCATCAATTCAAGAGTTGATTCCAGATGCTTGTTTATCAGAAATGTGTCTGTTAATTGTTTGCTGCCTCGAGCATAGCTTACATATTAGTGGTAAAGTTAATATCATATATAGAAAACAACAAGTTGAATAATATTAAATAATTAAGAATGGCAGTACAGGTGCTATGTCAAAGCTGCAGTATGTGGGAGCTCAAGAATACTATTCTGATCCAGGGCAAGCCAACTGTAGTAAGTGAAGTTCGAGCAGCTTCAGCTCAAGAATTTATAAGCTGGAAGTTGAACTACAGGCACTGCGATGCATCAAGGAGGGAGAAGGTTACTTGGATTCTTTATATCAAGAAGCAGTCAGACCACTTAAAGTGTTTTGATATGGTGAGGGACAAGAAGGTGTGACTGCAAGTGAGGCAGGGTAGGGGACCTAGAGAACAGGACTGTCCGTCTCTGTAAGTATCCAATAGATTTGAGGTTCTCTGTTTGTTTGGATAGGAACGCAGGCTGTGGGATGGATGAGTGATGACACAAAGTGAGGTAGGAAATTGAGTTGTGTATACGACATAAGCAGCGTCCAAAGGGATATAGGTTGTCAGTGGGCAAAGATCTGCCAAATTGTGTACAGTATTGTAAGGTGTGATCTTGTCCATTTTGGCAGAATAAAATGAAGCATAAATGGTGACTGGTTGCAGTGCTCTGAGTGCTTTAGTGCATGAATCCCAGAGGGTTAGTATGCAGTTAGAGTAAGTAGTCAGGAAAGCTCACATTATTATGGTTTATTGCAAGGGGAATTAAATGCAGATTAGGAAGGTTATACTCCAATTACACAAAGCATTAGTGATCTCATCTGGAGGACTATACGGTACTGATCTTTGTACTTACAGAAGGGTATTAATGCATTTGAAACAGTTCAGAGAAGGTTTTGTACAATAATACTGGGACGGAGTGGATTGCCTTATGAGGAAAGGCTATACTCTGGAGTAAAGAAGAGTCAGAGGTGACTTAGTTGAAACAAACCGACTATGATCTTATTGAATGGCAAAGCAGGTTTGAAGGGCTGAATTGCTGCCTCTTGTTCCTTGTTCGTATGGAAGTTGAGGACCAGAACTTACTGCTTGAAAGGGTGGTAAAGTAGAAATCATCATGTTTAAAAATAATATTTGGACATGTGGCACAGTGGCTTAATGCTGCCTCATAGTGCCAGGAACTCGAGTTCGATTCCAGCCTTGGGTGCCTGTCTGCATGAAGTTTGCACATTGTTCTGGTGTCTGTTGTTTTCCTTCAGGTGCTCCAGTTAATTCCCAGAGTCCAAGTTAGGTGGATTGGCCATGGTAAAATTGTCCTGTAACGTGCAGGCTAAGTGAATTAGCCATGGTAAATGGATTATGGGGTTAGGGTGGCATGTTGTTTGGAGGGTTGGTGCAGACTTGATGGGTTGAATGGCCTCTTTTTGCACTTTAGGGATTCTGTCATGTCTTCTATGATGCACTTTGAGATGCTGTAACATACAGGGCTATGAACCTAGAGTTTGAAAGTGGGCTTCAGATATATTGCTTTTGGATGAGTCAAAGGCCACTTACTGTGCACATTGGAAAGTTAAAGAGATTTAGTAGAGGCATTTAAAAATAAGAGTGGTTATGATTGAGCAAGGAGAAACTGCTTCCAGTGGAAGATGGTAATGAGGATATATCTTTAATTGCCACACAAAACCTGGAGAAGGATGAAAAAAGTTTTTATGCAGCACGTTGAGATCCGGAATGCGCTGTCTGGCACAGCGGTATAAGAAAATTGAAAAGTAACTACGTATTGTGAATTGTATAAAGAATTGAAAAGGAAAAATTTTGAGGACCAGCGGAGAATAAAGCAAAAGTAGGCAAATTGGAAAGCTCTGTCAAAGAAGTAGCAGCAACATGATGGGCCAAATAATCTCCCTTTGTATTGCATAGTTTTATGATCCAGTAACCTCTTCCTTGATTATGTCCCTACAGCAAGAGAGATTTGTTTTAATGCAACGTGCCAAGTATCATTTCTGTTTAGCACCTCAGTTTGTTGCAGGACATCAGGGTGGCATGGTGGGTCAGTTGTTAGCACAGTTGCCTCACAGCGCCAGGGACCCGGGTTTGATTCCGCCGTCGGGTGACTGTGTGGAGTTTGCACATTCTCCCCGTATCTGTGTGGGTTTGCTCCGGGTGCTCCGGTTTCTTCCCACAGTCCAAAGATGTGCAGGCTAGGTGGATTGGCCATGCTAAATTGCCCGTAGAGTTCAGGGATGTGTAGATTAGGTGGGTTATAGAGGAATGGGTCTGGGTGGGTTGCTTCAAGGGTCGGTGTGGACTTATTGGGCCAAAGGGCCTGTTTCCACACTGTAGGGATTCTATTGATTTATGCTATCAGGGTGGGATCTGTACCACTGGGATCAGACAATTGTCAGCAGCCATAGGTTGGTGACTGAGGAAGAGAAAGAAATCACAGGAAGAGGATGACAGTTGTTAAACACCTGATTCCCATTGACCTGATTGAATTCATTCAGGAAGTAAGGTAATGTCACTATAGACTTACCAGAAATAGGGCTGCTTTCATTAGAGAGAGACAACTGGTGGTGGTTAAACCTGATGGTTACCATGCCTTAGGCAAAGGGACAGATTGAGGAGCAGAGTCCTACATGGTAATCTCAGCTGGTGCAGGATTTGAACCTACAATGTTCGGGTAAATGTACATTGCAGATCAGCTGTCCAGCCAACTGACCTAACAGGAAGTAATAGGATAGGGAATGAAGCTCAGTTGTGGATATTGATCTTGATTTGCGAGAAATATACTGGAAGCAGATCCTGTTCTGTTAGTGCGTAGGCCTATGTGATCACTCTGAGGACAAGGATAGTGGTCAAGATTTCTAGACACTTCGTGATTCTTAACATTTCTATCAAATCTTTTCTCAAACTTCTCTTTATATTGTATTGAGCCTAAAAGATTCAGGTGAGGTGATCAACCATCCAAGTTCACTGACAATACAAAGCTAACCGGAAAAGTACACTGTAAGGAAGAAGAAGATTGTAGAGATATATAAAATGATTGAACATTGTTGTGGTAGATACAATACTAAAGTGAGAAAACTTTGAATAATAATGATCAACTTTGGATGAATGGAAAAGCAGAATATTTTTGAAGAATGCAAGACTGATTTTAGTAAGGCTGATTTTCAGAGAGTTTTGAGGGTCCTTGAGCGCAAATTGGGCACTCGACAGATAGAGCAAGCAATAGGAAAGTAAATGTTATCCTGGCTTTTTACTGAAAGTGTTACA